GTCAGTCTTCAGCTCTCGAAAAGCGTCCACCACCGACGCTATGAGAGCGTTGATACCCTTTCTTGGTATTCGATACTGAATACTTTGCATGGAGGCGGTCTAAACAGTTGAGGTCGGGCGAGTTGGGAGTTTGACACAGTAGCTTGATGTTCCTTTCCTCCTTCAGTTCCGACCTTCATTACATCCGGGTCTGTTGGCGTTACGTGTGATTTTGCATTGTCTTGTTGTACTAATATGATTTCACGACGATCCTTTCTTGGCCAATTTGCTTTGATCGCTGGGAATACTTTTGTCAAAAGATATTCCTTGTACACTTTCCAGCAGACCGTATCGATATTACGAGTGCAAATAGACCCTTTGTCTCTATTTTTGCTTCGCCGCTTCGCCTCGTACTGTTCCGTGAAAGACCATATCCCAACTTTGCCATCCCAACGCTGCTTTTGGTGAGGATCGTACCTAAACTTAAAAATAAAATGTTAACGGTTTTCATTTTCCAAAAATATAAAAATATAGAGGATTACCTTGGCCGTGCAAGTGCAGCTAAAAACATCGTCTTTGGAACGAATCGCTTGCTCTTCCATGCACGTGCAGGTAGTTCTTCGCCGTCAAAAACGAGGTATGAGCGTCTGTTGCTGCGTAAAACCACTTCTCATCTACATGCACTAGATTGTGCATAGGCTCGAACTGCAAGATAGATTCGTCGATAAACGACAACGCGTGCTCTACCCGTCGTATCTTGTTATCATTCGTTAGTGCCGGCTTGATAAACGTGGTTCGTCGTGTTACAATCCCCTCTTTCACTGCCTGTCTTATCATATGCCTGCGCCGCCACACGTCTTTCAACCGCTCTATCCTCGATAGGAACATCCTTCAGTTTGTCACGTACTTCGTCTCGATTCTTCCGCTTTCTGCCACTGTTCTTCTTAATCCGGTTAAGCCCCCCCCCCCCCCCCCACGACACCAGCTGTCACTGCAGAGCTGTACCGCTTCCAAATTAACCTCACGGTGTCCGGATGTCGGCTCATAAGGCGTGGCGGGTCGCACTCCAGGCGAGGCTGGAGACCTTAAGCGCTAAAAATGAAATGGCGCAGGCTACAGTAGTTCGTTCGGCGCAAAACCGGTGGCTAGAAAAAAGAGGAGTTGCGGGGCTTTCGTTTTGGCCAATCAGATGCTGTAATGGTTAAATAGAGCTGAACCAATAGGTCAAATTGTCGATTTCACGTGACCATTTCCGACCAGAGGAAGTATAAATTAACCAGGCGCCATATCTGCAGTAGAGATGCTAAGACTTATCGAGGCATAAATATCTCGGAGCACAAATATCGTCTCACGAGACTCGCCTACGCCTAAGGTTTTGTCGTGTAACCATCTTAAGAATTAAGCTAAATATTTGTATTGATCATTACTCTTCCATCACTGTGTGATCTTAAACGGTTGCATACATCTTCCGACAGCTCAAAGCTTCTCTCGATTTCAAATCGGCCACCGGAGCCGCAACGACTCTTCACTAAAAAAAAAAGGCGAGTGTTCGCTGAAGATGAAAGTATATTGGCAGTTATCTCATATACATCATGTCTGCAGGAGATGGTTCACCTGACTCACTCCTCACGTCACTGGAAGCTGCGGTGTATCAATGACTCCAGTGACTACGAAAACACGCCGCCGAACACTCAGAACAATAGCATCACTGTACCAAGGACGGCTCCGGCTGCATTCGTGACAAGATCGCGAATGACGACCTCGCTTCCCCCGGAGCATCGACTCCTCCCTGGCTTTTCCTTTCGAAATCAAAAGTACAACCTGGTAGGGTTATCGAGAGATGTGCAGTGCCCGGCGCCACCCATGGACGCAAAGACTACTCCGGCGCTCACCGATTGCATTGCCGGTACGATGCCCAGTCAGCCCCACCACTTCCTCGCCTGTACTCCTCGAGACGCCACTGCGATCACCTGTATGCATGAGAACAAGTGCGACACGTTGGCACAACCACCACTGTGGGACGCAGCACCGTCGCCAAGCTGCTGTACCGTCCTCTCGCATGCATCGGAAGGACCAACAGCGTGGCCGTCCTGTGGTCAGCCCGTAGGGCTCCATGCACTTGAGTATTCTTCCAAGCCACCGTCGAATGCCTGGCATACGTCTGATGGGATTGTCCCTGCTCGGCGGTCGAGCCGTGTTGCTCACCTTCGCGAGCAGTTCAAACCAATGGCCACGGCGTTTCAAAATGTGCCGTACGTCGGATGATGCGACTGCTCGTCGCCGTGCCGCGTTGGCTTCTGCCGCAACTCCTCGATGAACCTGTTCTGCAATGTGAACTGCTGTCCATTCGACGGCAAGTACTGGAAAGGGTTAGTCGAGACTGACAAGTGCACTTGGGTCGCAATGTACGCACCTTGGAGCTGGGCGCAGTTGTCGCCGAGGACATCGATGCTGGCGTATTGCTTGGTTGGTACCTAGGTGAAATGGAGCATATGATCGCCACGCAACACCGGCTACCACCTCGCGATGAGGCAGTATCCTGGGATGTCAACGCTCCCCATCCTGTGGCGATCAACGCGGAATGTATGGGAGGCCTGATGACGTTCGTAAACTACTCGTGCAAGTCCAAGGACGAGTTCGTGGAGGTCGTCAACGGACAGCGCACCATGGTTGTCGTGATGATAACGAAGGAGATCCCCCGCGGCAGGGAGGTCACCGCGGATTATGGTGTCGATCTGTGGTTCGTCTGCCGCTGCCAGCGTGACGGATGCCGCACCGTGACAGTCAAGATTAACAAGATCTGCAAGAAGTCCACGGCGCGTTGGATACCTCACTGGTTAGAAGGTGCGCGCGTGAATGTGTTGAAGCTGTTCAATTGCAGTAGCAGCTCGAAACCTAAAGCTTGTGATGAGGAAAGCTTGAAAGCTTCCCTTGGTGCTAATAGAGCTGGTTCCTGCCGAGCGAGGTCGTCCGCCTCTCTCGTTTTGCTTTGGCCGAAGCCGATATCGAGAAGATCTGGTGTTCACCTCAACTGGATACAGTCCCAGGTAACAGGCTGTGTATTTACGTCGACCAGTGGTTCCGATATGCGCGAGATCGAGATTTTGGCTGTCGAGTAGGACTTCCTGGCAGATAG